TAAGAGGATTCAAAACTTTCGATTACAGCTTGGACATATATGTAATCCTTACTTCTCCTTCAATCGATCGCCTTGAAATTTTAATGAAGTAGCAAATCTGCTACTATATACACACACACACGCAACTCTAAGCTTTCAAAATCTTCATCGTAAGTCACATCTTAAAAGGGCACTATCTAGGCTGTATAAATAAGAGAATTCGTAAAGCTTAAAGAGTGTAATGAGATTTATAAACATTTAATAATATTTTAATAATTACGATAATTTATTTATTTATATTTATTATATATAAATTTCAATTGTATTGCACATTATAATATTATCTATATATTATTTATAATAGGCCCTAAATAATTGGTCCTAAATAGATAGATCCTAATAAATGGTTCAAGTATAACATATTATGATATATTGTATATAATACCTCTATTTATTAATGTAACACGCGTATTATCTTTTATAAGCATGTTGTGGCATAATGATATGGCATCATTTTCATACTGATTTTCAACCATTCTGATGGTTTATCAAAATTCATTAGATTTAAGCCGTTGACGTTTATATGTACATTATAAATTAGAATATAACATGCATTTAATGAGGCATAATCTAATTGATTAAATTAATTATTTAAATAAATGATAATTTTTGTCAATTTTTATAAGACGATTAATATGCGTATCTACTATACAAATCTCTTTATTCTAATCAATTAGAGCCACTTTAATCAAACTTTGATTAACTAAATTAATTCTCTTATAAAACGATACATGCGTTTTGTTAATATTAATCTTTTATTGATTTATATATGAAAAAAAGATTAAGAATGACAAATTATATAGTTAAAAATTTTGCTGCGCAGGCAAATTCTACACGGATTAAATCAATCGCCGATTAATTGGAGTTTGATTGAAGTGGCATTCAGAAGTAAATTGTATGTTATTTTAAAAATAAGAAAACACAAACGCGCGCGCGTGTAAGGTTGATTTAATACGTACTATATCACGCGTCATGCATAAGCTCAATTTTATTCGAGAGCGAGCCCGTTGTCGATTAGAATCTCATCGACGGAAACAGACCGACGAGGAAAAACTAGCCGCATCGCGCATTCTGATACGTACGCGTCAACTCGCCGAGCTAAATTTTCCACGATGTTTAGAAGCACCCGAGCACCGAACATCGCATAAGAGATCGTCCGCTCAGACACGCGTTTCTATTTGCATAACAGAGGCGCGTTGCATAATGGAAATTGGCCCATGTTGTATAACATTGCGTGCTTGCATCGTGCGCGCACGCTGCCCACCGAGAAAGAGAAAGGAATTTCTCTCATTCGCGTGCTAGCGAATAATTAGCAGGTCTGCCCGTGACATGAAGTTTGAAGCTGTTGCTGACTGGATATGCACAGCTGCCTTACATTTCCCGCATTCCTTAGGCAGATTGGGGTCACTAAATAAGAAATTACCTCGCACGAATACGGCCCGTAAGTTTTCCCATTACATGAAAGTAAATCTTTCCTAACAATATAACGCGAATATTTCATTAATCTCTGCCTGGTCTTGTTATGATAAAGCGATAACCGCCGAGAAGACGTTAACCATTGCTTTTATAATACAGTACACGCATGGAACATATTTAACTGTTATTTTCATATCGTTGTCATCATTATTTTAATATTATTTGTTACGTATTATTTTATTATCAAACTTTTATAACGAATAAAATATCTTTGTATTTGTTAAGCGTAGATTTAATGGCACAGGTTCATAAAATATAAATTTTTTATCTTTTTTCTTTTTAAACATTTTTATACTTTGATAAAAATACGATTCTTTCTTCTGTTTCGTATCAATTACATAATGATTATCTTATTTCTTTTCATTTTTCGCGATATAACCTCGAGTAATTGTACGTTCATGTCGTTTCATGCAGCAGAAAGTAAAAGATTGATTACAAGTATAATGCGGTTGATAATAAAAGTGCATAAATTCCAAATCGATTATCATGATTTAAGATTGTTGGTACAAAAACATTTCAATTCTAATCGTCAATCCATTATGTGCGCACAAGCAAACAGATACGATCGATAACATCTCGATAAGAAGGATGGAATCGTGTGCAGCAGTGACGATTAATGACGGCTAAATGATGTTTGTCGCAGTATGAAGTAAAAAGCAGTTTAAAAAATCAATAATGCGCATTTTAATGCAAATCATAGTTTTATAAATATTTTATTGTCAGTTGGTCTTTTATCTATCTAAACACAAGCATGCAGCATTTTAATAAATATCCTAACGGAAATTACGACATAAAATATCACGCTGCCATTTATATTTCCTTCCGATCGGACACAGTTATCGGAAAATAATTGCATATCACGTAATCACTTTATGATGTAAACTGCAAAACATTAAATTCCTGATTTATTTCATGTTCAATTTTGCTTCCATTTATTACCGCATTGCAAAACCATCACGTAAATAATGCTTTAAAGTAAAATATATTTTACAATACGTTCATCGTTTAAATAATATTGTACAGTAATATTTATAGCTCATGCATTCAAACTGTTACTCTAGTCTCAATATATTATATTTATAATTACAATAAATATAGATATATACTATGTGTAAAAAATATTATACAGATATTACAGATGAGATCAAAAAGAATTGTTCCTAATTAGAAAAATGAGAAAATTCCCGTCAAAAATTATTAAAGATAAATCAATAACGCATATTCGTGCTAATTCTAATATAAGCATAGCAATATCGTTGATTGCAATCGACATGTAATTTATCATTATAATTTAGTAGTCTATTAATCACGTCGATCACTGACGCTTGAAGACAATACTAAAAATCTCGATAAAACACTAACCTCTTCAAACTTTAATTTTTATTTTTCTAGAGCAGTTACCCGATAATAAGATAGAATCACGATTATAACACGTTTGATTGAAATTCTGAATCTACTGATATATCAGTAGAAAGAATTTATTTGCTTACATACACACAGTCTCATTTCTTATGCAACTTATATCTCTTTGTTAAATCGCGAGTTTACATTTATATACATACTAGCGAGTTGTTGTTTACATTTCATCTTTTACAAATTTGAAATATGACAGATCGTGTATATCCAATAATTCTATATGATTTCTATATGATTATTCTCGTTTAATAAATCTCTGTTATGCATCGCAGAATGTTTTACCTTTCTCAGGATTTATTTTTTTTAAATCTGATAACAGAAATATAAACTTCGGAATGTTACTTATATTGGCATAGTATCTACACATTTAAATTATTGTTGAATTAAGCTACACGCGTGCGAGCACGTGTGTGCGTGTGTAGCTTAATTCGACATTCGAATAATTATAATATCTTGTAATAATATTATATAATTATTATTTCCTCACATTATGATAATCAATTAATAAGTATTAACATCAATCATGTTTTATATCTCTCTATAAAAAATTAGAGAAATGTGAAAAATCAATAAGAATAGTAATCAATTACTACGTACATGCCCATATATACAAACAGTACACACATACTAATGTACAATTTAATTTCTTTTACTAATGTATTTAATATACTGTTAAAGATTTGTCACATTTTTTAAAGTTTAAATATAAAAAATTACACGTTTTAATTTATTTCTCAATAATGCAATTACAACAAAATTAAGTAGGTTAAATTAGTAAGGCGATATATGTTTCGTGCACTTTAAATTTATCATTTCGTACCGTTCGGTACCTGTGTAAAGTATATATACAATATTGATTCAGACTATTCACGATATACTTGTTCTTTTCATTCGCATTGTGTTCTCGTTTCCGTTTTTAAAAATGTGAAAAGGGGCAATAGTCATGCGCCTATATCCAATCCTTCATTCGATAAATCATCGGATTAAGTAAACTGCTTTCTCTTCTATTTTCGGTATCTTTCTGTATCATTTTATAGCAATTGCTATTATTCCCGCCTGTTCTCCTAACAATACCAATTAACACTTCCATAAATTCGAGGCTTTTTCCGTTTCCTCGGAGATAATACTTCTGTGTCACGCCACTATGCGCACTCCACAAATTCTCATTTAATCGTGTACGCGGTTTTATCGTTATTTAAGTCTTTATTTTTATACTTGGAAGAGTTTACAAAAGCACCACACACTTTCCGTTAGCTTTATACGATTGTTAATTAATATTTAAAAATTCAATTCTTTTTTACCGTATTTTCTACATTTATATTTTACACATATTAACAACTATTTTAAAATATTTTATTAATTCACATATTTTATAATATGTATGCCAAATTAGTATTGAAAAAATAAAACATATCGCGAAACTCTTTCAATAAATTTAATTTAATATCAATTTATGTGCAATCCTTGGAATGCATTTTATTGTTAGAGGTAAAATGATTCTTTGTATCAATTTTATAATACATATACAGTCAATGTGTAAAGTTTTTAATCATGTTGTCCAAGAAAGATATCCAACAATTCTATGAGAGAAACTGCACACACTCCAATATCTCCTGCAATATTACGAAACTAGAACAACGCAATAAAAAGCATTAAAAAATAGTGAAATGGTGGCATGACTTTATGAAGAAAGTTTCGCAAAATGGCATGTCGAGTTAAGTCAGATTTATGGTATAACCATAATGGATGGTATACGAAGAGCTTGCATTTGGATGTCGCGGTTCTTTTGCGCGACATTTCTGTTGAGTGGACTCGAATTTTTTCTGTTCACTGTAAAGCTTAATGATTTAATTTTCATAATTTTATTCATTGTTGTTTAATTTGTCGTGAACGTTCAAGAATCTTCTCCTCGATCCAAATTATAGCTATCAGCTATTTAATCAGAAAATTTAAGAACGCGAAACACTTTCATAATAATCACTGATTAGGTGTTGTTTAGGTTTACAATTTAAAAGATTATGTCTATTATTTTTCAGCAAACATTTTCGCAAGCTTATCTTCGTACTCACCCTCGGATGAATGCGCCAACGCAACGAAGATCCACGCAGTCCACGAGACAAGGATGGCAGTGATTATTGTCATATTTATTATTTTATCGATAGTTTATATCGTTTAATTTTCGTCACGTATACGCACTGATATAAAACCTACGCGAACCGGAGTTCAGATGCAGACTGACTTGTCGTTGGGAGTCCAGCAGGAGCAACACGACACGCATGCGTCCTGACTCCCACGTGCCTCTCTCTTTCGTGTCTTTACTAGTCAAAGGGACAATTGTGATTTCCCGGACATCCTCATTCTATCCCATTGCGCAAGAGGCCTGTGTTTGAATGCGCCTTCGAATGTATCATATGAAATGTTATCTCTCATATCGTTTCTCTTATATTATTGTCATGACATCAATTCTAGAAGTTATTGTATGCGTGTGTATGTGCAAGATCGCACGATCTTATATACACTTAACGTACATAATATATTCATATGCGATTCGTTTATTCATTACTCTTTCAATCCCTTTATAATGCAAGAAAGTTGCATCTGTGTCGCACGCGTATTCACATTGTAAAATACGTTCAGATTTCACATTCAGATTTGAGAGGTAGAATTGAATAGATTCTTGGAATATCTTTACTAAAGAGACATTTCTAACACTTGACAATATGCGTTCTGACTTTGTGCTCTTGTGTTCTTGTCTCTTGTATCTAGTCACAAGACAATTGCGATTAGCGGATTATTCTCATTTTATCTCATTGAGTAGAAAATTCTAGGATGTCTTTGAACGCATTATGTAAAATGTTTAAACCTTTTTACCATTTCTCTCTCTTCTGTTTTTTTTTCAGCGTCAGATACATTTTATTTGATCGATTTATAATATGATATTGAATTTAAAAAAGTGAAAGTATGGATAATAAAAGATTAAAAATAAAAGTACATTAACGTGATTGGCATATATTACAATATTAATTAGAAAATTAATAAGGATTAAAAAAATATATTATTAAATAAATCTAGGCTTTTTTTTCGTGTAAAAAATTAGAGTTACTTAAAAATCTAAAATAAAACTGCAATTTTTTTCTTATTTGTATCTTTTTGTTCTTTTGTGCTCTTTTTCCAATTATTGCTTAAATTTATATCTTAAAAAGTATATGTAAAAATGTGTATAAAAATAATTTTATTTTGCAAAAAAGAAAAATAAAATATAAATTTAACAAATTTTTTTATGATCATCTACTTGCACATTTGTTTTAATTATGCTAATTTACAACCACTGCTTTTTTTATATGTCTAAGATGTAGCTGCTGTTACTTTTACTACTGTCTGTTTAGATTTGTTACAGATTTTATCGAATTTAACAACACAATTCTCTTTC